GGGAGTAGCAGTAGCAGCAGTAGTAGCAGTAGTAGTAGTAGTAGTAGTACTACTACTACTACTACTGTAGTAGCTGTAGTAGTAGTAGTAGTAGTAGTAGTAGTAGTAGTGGTAGTAGTGGTAGTAGTGGTAGCAGAAATAGAAATAGAAATGGAAGTGGTAGAAGTATTGGTAGAAGTATCGGTAGTAGTTGATGTTGTCGTCGTCGTAGTCACAGTAGCAAAAGCAAGAGCAGTAGCAGCAGCAGCAGCAGCAGTAGCAGTAGCAGTAGCAGTAGGGGTAGGAGTCGGAGAACGAGGAGTAGGCGTAGCGGTACAGTGCTAATAATCATCATGCCATCAATACTATCACTGATACTGTTAATTGGCCAATATCTGCCTTCTCCTCATCACTGCTGCAGGCGCCGGGGTCGTACAGCATGTCCTGGGCTCTCCATAGGACCACTGATTTTGTTTATGGTTTAGAGAGTAGGTCACCATGCGCGACCACAAGCGAAGCCAACAGCATCGATTGCTACCTAGTGTCATGGTTGCCATAGACGCTGTACCATGGCACGCTGCGCACGCTTGAGGAGTAGACATTGTGCCATTTGTGGTGCCACGCCGAGTCGTCCTTGCTTGTGACACCACCCGGGTAGAACGAGTCGCCAACATTGATGACAAACTTCACATCCCCCAGTTCGGTGAACTCCTGGTGCATCCGGCCGGCGATCACGCCCTGGCAGTACCGACCCACATTTCCGTGCGCCACGTCGTCATAGCCCCAATCCCCAATCACCATAAAGGATGCGACGCGCGTGGCCGTCGGCTCATCGTCTCCGAAGCACCCGAGGGGTCCGTCGAGCACGGCCAGGATGAGCAGCCACTGACTGAAGGGCAAGTACGCCATTCTCAGCTTCGGCTGCTGGCTGCTTCGTATTGAGCCCAAAGGAGCTGAAGCACACAGCGAGTTTGTGCGCTCACTCTCCGTGTCCGATGTCGTGCAGGACAACGCTGCTCGATGTCGGTGCATACACTTGACTGGCAAGAGTTGTGGCATGTTGTGACATGTATGACTGCACCTTTCTGTGTTAAACTGTCTCAGGCTGCAGCATGGTGCATGTCATCGCGTTGTGCTAAGCTGCTACGGTCTACGAAGCAGCTTCTGCGTGACATGGTGTGGCCTTACCCTGTACTGTGCTCCAACAAGGTGCTGTGCAGTCGCTTGTGCCATCTGATATGCTGCTTTGTTGGTGGTTGATTCCGCTACTGATAACTCCCTCGATCTGTGTGTATGTTTATATATATATATATGTACACACACACGCACTTGCTTGACAATTCATCCTGAGCAGTGGCGAAGGCACACAGGCGGATCGGTGAAACACTCCGCCAAGTATCACGTCTCAGAAACCTCTCTCGAAACCCTGCAAACATAAAACACGAATCTACAGTCGGGAAATGCGCCTGCTTCGCGCTACTTTAGCAGATCTCACCCGCAGCAAAACCAGGCACTGTGAGTCCGAAATACAACCAATATACGGGCCCAAAGAGTTCGAAGGAGCCACAGCGGTCGACATGTCGGCATCTGCTGCGGGCCGGCGCATGCAGGCCCGGGTTATCTGGTGCTGTTGGCCCACGAGTGACTGTCAGCTGGCCAGCCCTATGAAGCCGAACGCACTTCCGCAAGTAACCATCAAGCTAGAAACTGGGTCCTCATACTACACTTCGACCAGCATCCACAGGAAGCTGCATGTCTAGGGTTCAAAGCTTCCAGGTTTCTGAATTGGGTTCCTCTACTCGCGCTCGCGGAGAGAGGAAGAAACACATGCCGGCATGACCCCGCAGGCTCGTGTCACGAAGCCAAGGCTCTGAGGCTTGTGGGGTATCTTATAACGATAACTTTAAAGTAAAGTCTACTGGTAGCTCTATATAGTTATTATAAAAAGAGATATTAGTAAACCTTACTATAACCGCTAAGCCCAAAGCCTACTCCCAAGAAGTGGACGTGCTGCCTTGTCCGAGCCAGGCTGCATCTTATCGCGTCCCTGCGCGTTAGGGCTTTCTGCCTCCTGCCTTGCTGAACCAGTCGCAAGGAAGGGATGATACAAGACATCGACGGCTGATTAAAACAAAGTGTCATCCGCAAAACCTTAGGGCCTGACTCCAGGACCCTCAAATAAGCCCCGTACCCCGAAGCTTGGAGGTTTAACATTGCTCAACTCTTTCACAGCACCCTCAGGCATCGGTACACAAGTTCTCTGCTACGGCAGAACTCCCGAGGCCCAATACCATGACCTGAAAACCCCCCCACCGCTCACACCCGATGTCCTTAAAAACTAGACCCCAGCAAACAGGAGAGACCTCTCACGAGCCCGCCTCTGAAGCACTTTTTACGATCTCGCGACGATGTCCAACCTATTCTTCTTGCACCTTGAGATGCCGTCCGGACAGGCAAAAGGCCCACTTCTGGGCCAACCTGTCCCCCAAAGGTTACGGTAAGGTTCTGGGTTCTGGATTGAAGTTACTGTGTAGGAACCTTCTAGAGTCTGCATGGGGACCTCCGCAGGCTTCGCCACATCATGAGCCCTAAACCCTAAACCCTAAACCCTAAACCCTAAACCCTAAACCCTAAACCGGCCGTCGCGTAGCCTTCTGTCGATCCGAGCAACCGAAGAGTCGGAGTGTCGGGGCTAAAGTGTCAAACCCACACCCCGAATCCGAAGCTTCAGAGCCAAACCTGCAAGTCACGGCCAGAAAGCCCAATACCCCCCTTAAATAGGGAATAGACCACTTAATCTAGAGCGGCCTCAATGTTGTGATTTAAGGTATATTCCTTAATTAAGGGGTGTTGGGCTCTTGGGTGCCTGAAAACCCGGCCCTGAGCTGGGAACAGCCTAGAAAGGCTTCTTCGGCCTAAGCATGGTCGGGGGCTAAGCTCGGGTGTGAGGGCCTGAGGCTTTAGAGTGTACTGTCGTGCCCACTAGCTTGCAACATCTCGAGGCACCTGCGTTGTCACGTGCCGTGGCATGCACCGCCACTTCTTTGAAGAGGCAGAGCACCATTGATTCGATAACTGCGCAAAAAAACTTCCAAGCACAAAGGGCAGGACAGCAGGCCAACCTCCTGGACCCGACCGCAATCATCGACCAATTCCCGGACCGCAAACCTGCTGCTCCCCGCGAGCAGCTCTCCAACACCGAAAAGCCTAAACCAAGGAACTCGGGCGCTGATGCACGAAGTCGCCTGGTGCAGTCCGCAAGTCCTATGCTCAGAAGCTCTCGAAGAGCTAAGTGCAACCCGGGCCGGAGTCTCCAATCGTGATCAGAAAGTAGGGCTCTTTGCTTAGTCTAGTCTTCGGCTGACTTATGTGGGCTTGATGCCTAATAGCCCTAAACCCTACACCCTAAACCCTTTTTTTTGCATCCAGGACTCTTGCAAGCAGCCGGGACCCTAAACCCTAAACCCCTAAACCCTGAACCCGCAAACCCTGCCTAGACACTAAACCCTTAAGCCCTGCCTCAACACTGAACCCCTAAACAGCCTAAGCCCTAAACCTTAAGCCTTCAAGCTGGGAAGCGCTGAGCCCTACATCCGGGCCCCATCGGGAGCCCAATACCGCCTCCTAACCGGCAGCCTTTGAGGAAACCAGAGCTTGGGGGTTTGGGGCTTAGGGTTCCGGCTTCAGGGGTTTTGGGTTTAGGGTTCTGGGTTTAGGGTTTAGGGTTTAGGGTTTAGGGTTTAGGGTTTAGGGTTTAGGGTTTAGGGTTTAGGCTTCGAGGCTGACGGCTTGGGGTTCTCAGTTTCGGGCCTTATGGGAGAAGGCTTGTTGAATTTCTAGGTTCAGTTCTGAGATCCGGCTCCAGAGGCTACCCTGGAAAATCTGGACAGCAGCAAACCGCTGCCCAATTTAGACGTATTCGTTCGCGAAAGGCACGCTGACCTCTGAGGCCGCGTGGAAGTTCAGCACCGTCCGCATCTCGTGAACAGGGCCATAATTGGCTGGGCAGTCACAGCCTTAGGCAGGAACGGTTAAGGGGTTTAGGGTTTAGGTGAGTTTAGGGCTTAGGGGGTTCAGAGTTGAGCATTTAAGTCTATGTAGGCAAGACGAGGAGTTGGAGAACCACAGTTATAAGCCCATATAGCCCGACTTTACATTGCTGTACCGTAGACCCCGTCTTACTACCCAGAGAGCCCAATACCCCCTGAACAAGGAATACACCTTAAATCATAGGGGCCCAAATATTATGATTTAAGGTATACTCCTTTGTTATATACGGCTTAAATTATAGGGGCCCCAATATTATGATTTAAGGTATACCCCTTTGAGGGGTTAGCGACGCTTGCGGGGACATGTCACCGGTTGGTGAATCTTGAGGCCTCCGAAGGCCCCCGGTGTTGAGCAATGTAGGGTTTAGGGGTTTAGGGGTTTAGGGGTTTAGGGGTTTAGGGGTTTAGGGGTAAGGGGTTAGAGGTTCGGGTTTGGGGTTTAGGGGTTGGGGTTTAGGGGGGTTTACGGCCTGAGGGCTTTGAGCTAGCATCTTGTAGCAGAGATGTGGGCTGGACAGCGTTGTAGTTCGGAAGGTGGGGGCTTTGTCTAGCCTAAACCCCGGGCCTTGATCCTCTGAACCCCAGCACGGTTCACCCTGAACCACCAAACCCACGGCCGCCATAGCCTCTACATAAACCTAAGCCCTCAACCCCCTGAAGCCCCTGAAACCCCTACACCCATAAACGCCCTCCAGGCCTTAAGCCCTAAACCCTAAGCCTTAGACCCGAGGCCCTAAACACCAAGGCCTCAACCCAAAACCCCCGGCCTCAAATGATCTCCGAGCCAAGCCCGGCTCTGCTAGTTTAGGGTTTAGGGTTTAGGGCTTAGGGTTTAGGGGTTAGGGTTTAGGGCTCCACTTGGCTGTTCCTAGACCCTAAACCCTAAACAAACCCCTAGACCCTAAACCCCTAGACCCTAACCCCTAAGCCCCTAGACCCCTTAACCAACCCAGCTGACCAAGTCGCACCAGGATTATGGTTCAAGGACTTAGGTCTCTAGAGCTTACACAGTTTAGGGTTTGGTGTTTACCTGTAGCCGAAAAGACCTACCTTTGCAGGTGGTTTTTTTTCTCCCACCCGCCCAGGGGTTTAGGGTTTAGGCTTTGCTCAGGGCCGGATTCCATCCTGACGCCCGCAATCGCAAAACCCCAAAAACCCGAACCTGCCTCAAACCCAAATTCTAAACCGGGTTTAGGCTTTAGGGTCCTCTCGGAGCCCTGAAACCTGAAACCCAAGCAACAAAGACCTAAACCCTCATACTGACACCTTGAACCCTACACCCTGAGCCTTGTTACCCGAAACCCTGAGTACTGCGACTCCGAACCCAAAACCCTAAACCCGAACGCCCCAAGCATTGCCCCTTCAAAACACCCTTGGGCCTTCAACGGCTGACCGAGGGTACCTTGGCCGCTTCGGATGCCGAGGCTCGAGCCCTAAACCCTAAACCCTAAAACCCTAAACCCTAAACCCCTAAACCCAGGGCTCTTTCTTTCAATTGACCGCTTCAGGGTTCGAAGTTTGGGATTTAAGGTTTGGGGCTTTGGTGTTTGGGGTGAGGGCTTCGCGGCTTCAGGGTTTAAGGTTGAGGTTTTAGGGCGTTGGGGTTTGGGCTTCCTGGCTCCAGAGCTTAAGCTTTCAGGGTATTTTTTGTTCAGGGTACCCTTTTGCTGCAGGCTTGCATGGTACCCTAAACCCTAAACCCGAAACCCTAAACCCGAAACCCTAAACCCGAAACCCTAAACCCTAAATCCTGGGCACTTAGGGCTCCGGGGCTTAGCGCGTAGGGTTCCGGGTTTCCGGGTTCCTTCGGCACCAACCCTCAGGCTCAGGCCCTGCGGCTCCATGCCACGGTTAAACCCT